ACCCTGCCTTGAGGAGTCATTGCCTTCAGTATTTTTAAATATGTTTTTATTGATTTTTATAGAGAGAGGCAAAGAGAGGGATAGAGAGATAGAAACATCGATCAGAGAGAAGCATCATTGATCGGCTGCCTCCTACACACGCTCTACTGGGGATGTAGCCTGCAACCTGGGCATATGCCTTGACTGGGAATTGAACTGGTGACCTCTTGTTTCCTGGGTCAACACTTAACCACTGAGCCACACTGGCCAGGCTGTCTTCAATATTTTATTAACACCCTTCCTCCTAGGAATTCTAGGAGAAGGCTTACCCTTCTCTGACCCAAGGGAAAGCCACAGGCCATTTGAATCCGTCCAGCATTCTTCTCTCCCTGGACTGGTGCAGGAAAAACCCAATAGCCTCCGTCTCAAGTCCCCTTCGATCCCAGCCACGTTGCTTTGCTTTGAATCCCATAGTTGATTTGAAAAGAGAAGCGCAAATGGAGGAATTGAGGAACAAGGCTATTGTAGTAGCCTCATAACCCATATCTGCTTGGTATGGAGCTCTCTACCACCTTGTGTGTTGGTAACCTCCTGGCCCTGACATTTGCTCAATGCCTCCTCCCCGCAACTCATTCCCACAAAGAACCGTCAGTTATAGTTTTTCATGCACCACTTCCATGAAGTGAGGAATGCTGGACTGAATCATTCCCTTGATCAGAGTCAAAAATAAGCTTTCTCCTAGACAGAGGATCTTCATGGTCAGCCAATCCATTCATTTTCTTACCACTATTTATTCTGGCATTTGGTTTGTTTATTCATTCATTCGTTCATTCATTCATTCATTAGTTCAGCAAATAGTTTTGAGCACTCGTTACATGCCAAGCACTGTTGAAGAAACTGGAAATAAAGCAATGGCAAACCATATGAAAACCTCCTCCTTCATGGAGCTGACATTCTAGTGAGGGAAACAGATAATAATGAATAAACACAATAAATAGACAAAATATATTGAATGTTAGAAGATGACAGTTGATAAAAAGGAAATACTAGAGCATGGCCGATGTTTTGCAATTTTAAATTGAAAGTGAGCATAGACTTCATTGAGAAGGAGATGATTGAGTCAAGGCCTGACGGGGCAATGGAATGAGCTGTGTGAATATTTGTGAGAAGCATGCTCTAGGACAGCGGTTCTCAACCTGTGGGTCACGACCCCTTTGGGGCTTGAACGACCCTTTCACGGGGGTCCCCTAAGACCATCAGAAAACACATATAAAATTACATATTGTTTTGTGATTAATCACTATGCTTTAATTATGTTCAATTTGTAACCATGGAATTGGGGGTCACCACAACATGAGGAACTGTATTAAAGGGTCGCGGCATTAGGAAGGTTGAGAACCACTGCTCTAGGTAGAGCGAACAGCCCATGCAAAGGCTCTGAGGCAGAAGCGTGCCCAGGTTGCCAGAGTGGCATGAACAAGGAGAGTAGTAGGAGGTGATGTGAAGGAAGTGAAAGGCACAGAGGTGGGAGTGGGGGCACTAGACCAGGTAGCTATGCTAAAGACTCTGTTCGTACTGGGAGTGAGAAGGGGGCCACTGGAGGATGGGGAGCAGAGGAGCGATGTGATCTTACATGTTAACGGAATCATTCTGGCCCCTGGGTGAAAACAGACCATAGCATAGGTGAGGCAGGGCAATCAGATAGGAGATTACCATAAAGAGGATGATGGCTTGGGCCAGAGTGGTCACACCTTAATACTTATTCCAAAGATGGAGCCAGTAGGATTTCCTGAAAGAATTGGTGTAGGATGTGAGAAGAAGAAAGGAGTCCAGGATAGCCCCAAGGCCTTTGGCCTGAGCAACCAGAAGGCTGGACTTGCCATTAGTTGAGGAAGGGAGGACTATGGATGGACAGGTTCTCTTTTGGACACATTAAGTTTGAGAAGTCTATTAAATGCCAAGCAGAGGTGTCAGATAACAGTGGGCTTGTGAATCTGCGATTCGGTGGAGAGGTTCGTGCTGGAGATAGGAGCTGGGGAGTCAGCAGCACATTGATGGGGTTTGAATGACAGCACAAAGGACGGAGTGTGCTTAGAGGAGAGGTTTGGCATCTGAGCTCTGTGACACATCAGCACTCATAGGTTGGGGGGAAGAACGGGAACCAGCAAAGGACATGGAGAGGAAATGGCTTGTGATTTGGGAAGATCAACATGTGTGGTGCCCCAGAAGCTGGTGAAGAAATTTGTTCCCAGGAGGAGGGGGGTGGACAACTAGGTCAAATGCTGCCAAGAAGACCAAGGTGGTCAGGTGGGGACGGAGATCTGACCATTGGATTTAGTAACACAGGGGTTATTGGCGACCTTGCCAAGCAGTTTTGGTGGACGGTGGGATGAAGATGTGATTGCAGTGGGTTTGTGAGAAAGTGGGTGGAAGGGAGAGACGGCTCTTTCCAGAGGTTTCCCTGTAAGGCTTTGCTAATAATTTTAGCTTCTAGAACTCTTACAACTTGGATCCCTTTCTTCATTCTCATGAAGACATTGGTGCCAGAGAGCAAATTAGGCACCATTGAGTGCCTGTCTCTGACTCAGGGGAAGTGCGAAATGGGAATCTTGGAGTGTGGGAAAATGCTGGATTCAGTCACAGACCTGGGTGTGAATCCCACCCAAGACTCACTAGCTCTGTGACACCTCCACTCTTTAAGCTTCATCTTTGTCTGCAAAATGGAGAAAATCACCACTTCTTTGCAGAACTCATGCAGATTACATGGACAGTGCATGTCGAAAAGCCGGGCCTGATGCCTGGCACACAGTAGGCGCTCAGTATGAGTCCGTAGCAGAAGGGGTTGGTCTTCAGTTGTCACGTATTTAGAGTTTGATTGCATTTGAAGGAGGCATGTACGTGTTTGCATGTCTAATTATTTTTAAGTGTGCTAATTGCCTCTTTAAGTGAATTGTCATAACTGTGTTATTCCAATATTTTGATACAACATATGCTTACATTTGCAAAAGGCTTCTGGTTGATTGGGCCGGTTCCAGTGTGCTGAGGTTTTGGTTTTGAAGTGAAAGGAATGGACTTATGCGGCCATTTAGTATCCACTGGACACGTGCTATGTGCCAGCACCTGTTCTGGGTGCTGGTGGGCAGAGCGGAAGGTGGGACATTGACAAACATGAACAATAGGTCACGTAGGGACTTAGGATCTGTCAGGAGGGATAGATTTGAAGACATGTGGGTGAGGTCTAAATCTAAAGCCTGGTGCACTCCCCATTTCATGTGCTCATTCAAAATCTTCTAATTGAGCACCTACTGTGTGCCAGGCACACTGGTGACAAGACAGCCTTAACCCCTGCCCCAGAGAGCCAGAGGTCTGGGGGACAGGAGGCAGCAGAAGGTAAGTCAGAATCAGACATTATTTCAGGAGGCAATGATACTATAGGGAGCACATACAGCAGGCTGCGAGGGGGGATGAGAGGAGGGGAGTCTTATTGTAGGATGGGTAGGGAGCTGGGGAGGGCTTCCTGGAACTCTTGTTTTCTGAGTTATACGATGCCGGTGGCTGAGTCCCATCTAAAGAAAATCAGCCCCAGCCCATCTCCATGATTAGGCTGAAGGCAGACCACCTCTTGGTGCACAGGCCAGTGTTGTGAGGCGTTAGGAACATTCACAGCGGGGAAAACAAGTGCATGGGCTGCTGTGTACTCACTCTGTGTCCTTGGAGAAGTTTCTTAACATCTCTGAAACTCCAGGCAAACACAACAACAACACCAATAACAACCAACACAGAGAGCTGGCCATGTTCCAGTGTCCTGAGCAATTTGCACGTATTGATGTATTTGCTCTTGATAGCAAGTCTGTGGTATGTACTGTAATTACCCTCTTTTCACATATGAAGAAACAGGCACAGAGAGGTTAACTGACTTGCCCAAAGTCACACAGCTAGTGCACAGAGAAACCAGAATTCAAACCAGGCCCTCTGGCTCTTAACCGCTTGCGCCATGCTGCCTCCTGAACAACAGGGACAGTAAGGCCCACCTCCAGGGCATCATGAGGGATCGGTGGGATGCCGACATGCGTGCTTATGGCATCTGCCCTAGGAACTGGCTCATTCATCCATTCAACTAACTGGCTTTGAGCTCTTACTTTGTGCCAGGTTCTGGAAAACAGGACATACAAGGACCGTCCTGGCAGAACTCACATTAAACATTAAACAAATAATTAGACAAGAAGTTAGTTAGCGACAAGGTCGAGAGTGCTTCCAAGGAGAAATGCAGGGCAACCTGGGGATGTACTGTGGGGTCTGACCTACTCTGGAGAGTGTTGGAGAAGACATTTACACCAAACCTGCTGAGGCATGAGTAAGAATGAGCCAGATGAAGGGGGAGCAAGGGGTGGGGCAGAGAATTCCAGTAGAGGGAATGCTCATCATTTCTTTCCAACATTGTATTGGGACATCCTGGTCTGAGCAGCAATAAGGGGGAAAATGAACAAATCAGGATCAGAAAGGGAGGTTTCTAGTATGGCTCCTAGCTTGTGCTCCGAGGAGAAAGTTTGTGCTGTTCAAGGTGAGAAAGACCAGGAGAGAACCCAGTTGGGCCGAGTATTGGGAGCACATAAGAGCAAGTCACCCTCCTGCCCTGGAAAACCACAGGCCCGGAGTCAGGATACTTTAGCTCTATTTCCAACTCATATACTAACCTGGGGTGAGCCACTGTCCTTCCATGGTGGATGGTGGGATGAGTAGTTCTCTCATCTGTAAAATGGGTGGGCTGGGACAATGGATTCATGGTGGGCTGTCGTGGCCAGATCTGGTGGGAAAACGGAGCAGGTGAACAGGAGCAGGCCCCACCAGGAGGGCAGGTGTTGGTACGCAGACCTTCTAGCAGGAGGCTGCGCCCATCTGGGGACGGGGCAGGAGTCTGACCAGGGGGCCATCTTGTTATCACCATTGTTATCGGTGCTATCGAGCATGTCCCGCACTTGTAAGTCACTGACCCTTGACAACGTGCCCTTTGAATGTTTTAGACCTACAACACCCAGAACGAGAGCAACGAAGACTATGAGATCCCCCCGATAACACCTCCCAACCTCCCAGAGCCATCCCTCCTGCACCTGGGTGACCACGAAGCTGGCTACCACTCGCTGTGCCACAGCCTCGCGCCCAACGGACTGCTCCCTGCCTACTCCTACCAGGCCATGGACCTCCCGGCCATCATGGTGTCCAACATGCTGGCCCAAGACAGCCACCTGCTGTCGGGCCAGCTGCCCACGGTGAGTTGCTCTTTCACCATAGTTCCCGCCAGTTCCAGCAGGGAAGCAGAATGTTAGTGCCTTGATGAGGACCCTGTGCTCGTGTGCAGGGTCTGGGCCAGCCGTGGGCAAACTACGGCCCGGTGAATTTATATTAGTTCACACAAACACTCCATCCATGCTTTTGTTCCGGCCCTCCAGTCCAGTTTAAGAACCCATTGTGGCTGTCAAGTCAAAAAGTTTGCCTACCCCTGGTCTGGGCTCTGGGTTGCTCGCATGGGCATCTGCAGACTATGGGCATGGGCATGGAGGAAAGTGGATGTCTTCACACTGCTCACTTCTGGAACCCTGTTTAGCATTCTTTGTATTCTTTTTAATAGTGTAAATTACCTGAATTTTTATTCTTAACAGTTTTATTGAGGTCTAATTCATATGCCCTATAATTCACCAATTTAAAGTGTACAATTCAGTCGCTTTTAGTATATCCAAGTTGTGAAACTGTCAATACAATCCACTTTATGTTTTTGGGTTTTTTTTAAACCTGAGTGAGAAATAAAAGGAGAGAAAGGAGGGGGGAGGGATGAAGCCAACTCAGGATCCACATTTTATAATGTTGGAGGTCTGGCAAAAGAGCTCAGTGGAAATTGATGCTCCATTTCTTGAGGAACAATTTTCTGTGGGCCCATCAATAATGCAGGGCCTGAGCTTCCTCTTCTCTCTCTAGGAGAACTGAAGATACCACAGCCGTATGGTTTTCATTCCACTTTGACAGAATGCTTATACCTGAGCTGCTTGGCAGCCAATTTCCTAACAAAAGCTTCCCCCCCTTTAGACTGTCCCAGTTCGGGGATTTATGCAAACACGAGCCAGGGTAGGGCTGTGAGTGCAGAGGTGAGGATGGTTGTGGTTTGGGCCACGGTGTCACAGGCCTTTGGTGATCGGTGGCGACCAGGTGGAGCCGTGTGCGGGCTCCGGCGTCCTACAGACTTGCCTTAGATCTCAGCTCCGCTCTCCCACTTCAGTTCCCTGGCCTTGGAATCATCATAGTGCCCACCCACCTCCTGGTTGCTGTAAAGTGTACCTGACATAACGTAGGCAAAGTCTTAGCCAATGTCTGCCACTGAGTAAACCATCGGGGGATATTTGCTATTAGTAGTAGTATCAATAAAAGTGAATTCCCGCTGTCACTGAATGGCAGTGTGTGCCTGTCAGTCGTATTTAGCTAAAGGAACAGGCTCTCAGGTACCTTTGTAGGGTCACCTGGTTATTATAGCTCTGATAATTACAAGAGATGTTATCTGTTTATCAAAGATGACCCCCTGATCGCTCCTCCTAGGAAATGCTTCTGTTGGGCTCGGTCCAAATAGCCACTTTGCAGTCATTCTCCAGATTTCTTTCAAACAAGCTCATGTTAAAGATGCTTCACAAATTCAGATTGCTTTAATTCTTCCATTAGGCAGCGTTTTCAAGGGCCCATTGAGTTTTATATTCCCTTGTTAAGTAATGAAAGATAAGCCAAGTCTTTCACCCAGGGAAGGGCTACCGGACCAATTAGGAAACCAGGTAAGAATATGTCTGTCCATCGGGACTCTAGCAAAGAGAGACAAGCACCATGAAGACAAATTCTTAAATTTGTCAGAGCTGCAGGAAGCAGGTGTGTGTCTGTGTGTGGATGGATGTGCATTCTGTGTGGGTGATGCTGTAATGTGTGTCATCACCTGTTAGGAATCAAGCCCCATGCAGAGGGCTTTACAAACATGTTCTCACATAATGCTCCCCAAACCGAGGAAACAAGGTATTACTGTAATGAGGAGATGGAGGCTCCGACCAGGCAGGTGACTGTGTCAGTGTCCTGTGGCTGCTCTAGCAAATAGTCACAAACTTGATGGCCTAAAACAACCAGAAGTAGACTTTCTCATAGCTCTGGAGGCTAGAAGTTGAACTCAGTATCCCTGGGCCCAGATCAGGGTGTCAGAAGGGTGAGCTTCTTTTGGAAGCTCTGGGGCAAACCTGTTCCTTGCTGCTTCTAGCTTCTAGTGGTGGCCAATATTCTTGGCTTGTGGCCACATCCGTCTAACCTGTCTTCACGTCACTGTCACCTCCTGTCATTGAAACCTTCCCCTGCCTTTCTTAGAAGGATGCTTGTGATGGCATTAGGAATAATTTAGGAGAATCTCCTTAGCTCTGGAGCCTTCACTTAATCACACCCACAAAGACTGTTGGGTTTCCCCCTCAAATACAGTAACATTTACATGTTCCAGGAATTAGGACCTGATGTGCTTAGGGGATCATTTTTCAACCTACCGGTGATCAGCTGTGCAGCAACCTTTACTGACCCCCTACTAGGGACCAGGCATTGTTCTGAGCCCGGGCCTATGAGATGCATTTGAACTCCTCCTGCAGGTGGAGAGATGAGTGAAAACTCCATTTCTGAAGATGGAGTAAATGCTCAGTGTATTCACTGAGATCAGTGTATGGTGCTATGTGCACCCAGAAGGGGCACCTTTAGGAAGTGATGGCCTGACACATAGTAGGCTCTTTGAATAAATGAACAAATGAATGAATGTCACACAACTATTAAGTACAAAAACAAACAAAAAAACCCACAAAAACCAACAGAATTCAAGTCCAGCTTTGTCCCCTACCATGCACCTCTCAGTTTTACCAGGTGTTTGAGGGCTGGAGCAGCTGGGCTGGGGGGCCACAGGTGGCACCGAGGTGCCCCAATGGGCAGGATGCCACAGACATTGTTTGCAAAGACTGCAATGCACATTGTCCCTGGAGACGTGGGTGGGGCTAAGGCATTTGACATCCATCTCATGAAT